GTCTTTTTCATAAGCGAATATCTTCAAGGAAAATAAATCTATCGAAATGAACCAAAAACAAACTATCGAGAAAGGATGTACCTAGATGATAAAATGATTTTTAACATATTCCACAGGGTGCTCCAACTTGCACCAAAATATCAACATTTTGTTTTCCCTCGTATAATTAACAAATGGGAACTTTTATTTTTAATTTAGAAGGATACTAAAAATTCAAATAATTTAGCTACATATTGCTTAAAAAATCATCGAAATTAGCCCACTAGAACAAAATATATAAAACTTTAAAATACATGAAAATTTTAAGGTGCCCGTTTTTCGTGCCGCGGTAAGTGTAAGTATGTTTTTTTTTTCAATATCTTCCAAACTTTTTGATACACCGTGTAACATGAAATAAAGTTAATTACATTTAATTTCGCGCGTAATAAAAAGCATTGTCACAACATTTCATTAAACTGGTAATCTGATTTCCGATACAATCGACAAATGAAATATTGTTATTAAAAATATATAGTAACCGATTGTGCAAAGGCAAAAAACAGCGTTCTACAATTTAGACAATTATGTAACTTAAAGGCATATAGATACTTTTGCATATAAACATTTTTGTGGTCAATTACACGGCGCTTTATAATCATTTTACCGATTGCTGTGCTCTAATAAATGTATAGTTATGGTATTTAACTGGTGCGTGAAAGTGATTTATTATGCTGCAAGACATGCCTGTTTCGCCTGTTATTTACAAACCGACGAAAACGTTCACTCACATTTTTATTATCTTTGGATAAAATTTAAAACCATTTTAATTTGTACACTTTATACTTGTGATAGCAAAGCAAACGTTAATATTAGACCATATTATAGAGAAAAAAATCAAGTGATTCCTTTCTTAACTTTTGTTATTTTTTATAATACTTTGATGACAACTAAGATATTTACTTATACGTGATGAAAAAATATCAATATTATTGACTTTTATGAAAAGCAGCACTCCAGTAATTTTGAAATAATTAAATTAGAGTCAAGTGTATAACTTATAATTTAAAAAGTATTCTGTCGCTACACAATTATTCTATCACTAAATAAGGAAAGAAAATAAAATTATTTAATGCACTTTTTAGTACATTGTTTACACCTTGTATATTAATATACAGCAAGATTTTTGTTATCAATTGCATTCTCTAGCAAAAAAATCATAATAACGGGTGCGTCTCGAAAGTGGCTCACCCCTATAACTTTTTTATTTTTTTCAGATAAAAAAAAGAAATTTGGTATGTTAGTATATGACATATGACATAAATTAGGATTGATTGGCGTATTCAATTGTTTTCGGTCACTTCCTGTTTCACCGGAAATGACTACAACTTTTAATTTTTAAATGGTACCCTCCGTATTTTTTTACTTTATTCGAAAGAAAATCGAACTCTGAATAGAATGGCATATCATATGTCAACTTTTGACATTTTCGCGTATGGTTTATTTGAAATTATAACTTGTTGTTCGTAACGAAAATTTGACTCGAAATACCAAGTGTGTGGCATCAAATTATTCGTAAAAAAATGCTTTTTCCAAATATGCTAATGAGCCACCCTCGTTCCATTTGTAAAAATTGAGATATTATTAAAAATATGATTTGAGCATTTTCTAACTGGCCAGGATAAGCAAGACACTAAAAACATTAGACGGTCAAATCTATTTTTCCAAGGCTTCTTGATTAAGAATTAGTGTTTTTAACATAGCCATGGCACTCTAGATTGAACTTTAAAATACAATTTTTTATTAAGCGAGAATGTCAAAAGTTGACATATGATATGTTATTCTATTCAGAATGTCATTTTCTATCGAATAAAGTATAAAAATACCGAGGGCTCCATTTAAAAATCAAAAGTTGTAGTCATTTCCGGTGAAACAGGAAGTGACCAAAAACAATTGAATACGTCAATCAATCCTAATTTATGTCATATACTAACATACCAAATCTCGTTTTTTTATTTGAAGAAATAAAAAAGTTATAGGGGTGAGCCACTTTTGAGACGCACCCGGAATACATAATATATAATTGTTCTTATAGAAAGTCTGAAAATATCTAATTTTTGTAACAATTTAAATAGATGATTAAATATGGAACTGTTAAATTAAAAAATAAATCATTACGGAGAGTACCAAAATAAAAATGAAAAAATATCTAAAAACATCTTTAAACAAACTTAAGGTTATAGAAAATGGTGCAAAATAGAAAAATTTATAGAAAAAAAGTGTATTATAGGAGTAATATATTATACCGTATCTACTGTCGAAAATAACAGCGTTACAGTGCCATTACAGTCGAGGATAATTGACATAAAACTTTAAAAATTAATATTTATATAGGAAAAAGCAAAAAACTTTCTAGAAATACCAATCATTCACACGAAAATCTATTAAATAAATTAAAAGTAAAAATAGTAATAATTTTCAAATATTGAATATTTGAAGATTTTTATAAAAAAAATCTAATTAATAGATTGATATTTAAGCTTGTTTTGAATAAAATGAAAACCCCTTTTTCACCAATAAAGTTAAATTAATTCTATTTTGTTCGCCCAAACATATATTTTTAAAATAATTGTTATAAACCATAATTAATATATTCTGTCAAATTATCAACCTTTTCTTGACATTTGTTCTCCACTGGCAGTCTATAAAAACGGCATCAAGACGGTTGTGGAATGACAATCGATGATAATATTGGCGAGGTCAAACCCTAGACGTCATTATTTGGCCCGGACTTGTTTATTTTTTAATGGCGCTAACTGCCAGTTGGCATTAAGAATGTAGAATGTTTAGCAGGGGGGTTAATCACCGCGACCATGCAGATCTATTATGTTCCCCTATCTTGAGTTATAACGAGTTACAACTCATCATACAGTCTCAGGGCTTTGACAAAAGCCAGTATTTGAGACGGCTCCACAGAGGCCAGCTCTCCATCTCCGACATCAGCCGTACCAAAGTTTATGTCACAAACGATTGTCGTCTTGGCGCACTCGGTGATGAGGTGTTCTGGTGTTTCCCCATTTTCCCCACAGAATCTGTATTCACCGTTGTTTCTCAGCTTCAGCCTACTGAGGTGTTCGTTGAGAAGACAGTGTCCTGTTAGAAACCCCGTGACAATACAAAGATCGTTATTCTCACTTAAACCAAAGAAAATCTTTGATTTTTCTCGGTCGTGTCTAGCCCTAGCAGTCAGCTATTAAGCTTGACCAATCAGATTGGTTAGCGTGGTTATTTGGAGAGTGTTAATTCATTTGTGTTTGTCAAAAACTCTAACGTGATTGGTCGGGCTTAATAGTTGCCTGCTAGGGCTAGACACAAGTGTAAGTTCTGAGAAACTTTTTCGAGCGTCTTAGACCGTTGGAAGATTCCATTTCAGGTTACGGATGGAGTCCTCCAGGTTCATAAGCCGCATTTAGTTGGTGTCCGCTTGGAAAGCAGAACGGTTCTGGTCCATTTAGTGGAGTCTTCGCCCCTTTTCTAGCTAGCTCGTTTGCTTTTTCATTGCCTTGGTGAGCGGCCACCCAGAATATGAGGACTTTATTTTCTTTGCCTAATTTGTTCAGCTTCTCTAGGCATTCTTTGACCAACTTGAAATTGATGGTTACTGAGTTGATCGATTTTAGTGCTGCTTGACTATCGGATAAGATGGTTATTTCCTGTTTTCGATAGTTCCTAAGATAAATTGTACGCATATTTCAATAGCGTATATTTCTGCCTGAAAGATGGCGGGGTAGGTGTCCATTGGTTCGGAGAATTTAGTTTTTGGTCCAAATACTCCTAGTTTTGTTTTTGAAAACATCAGTATACCACGTTATGGTATGGTTTTTGACATACTGAGCAAACGTTTCTCTCTTCCAATCCTTTTTATTGCTCAATACTACAGTGAGGTGTTTCTCAAAATTGTACATTCTTGGTATGTCATCCACAGGTTGGAGAAGTAGAATTTTCTTTTTGAGGGTGTTCCAAGCCCCTGACCTGAAAATTCTCACAGTACTGTTTCCGTCAACGACCATTCTAATAATTGTCGCACTGGCATATCTACCGACGGTAATGTGCAGTGATGGTAGGTCTAGGATGATCACCGTTGCTGCTCTTGGGCATGTTCTCATGGCACCTGTGATGCAGATGCATCCCAATCTCTGTACTTTGCACAGGTTTTGCCTTGCTGTACGTTGCTCTACTTTTGTGTACCAAGTAACAGCTTCATAAGTAATCATGGCAACTGATCCAACTAATCAAAGCAACTGCTTCATAAGTAATCGTGGGTCTTACTATAGTAGGTATACATCCAGAGCAAAATGTTAGGGGCACAGCCCCATTCATTTCCGCCCAGTCTTCTGCATATCATGAGAGCTTTTGTGGCTTTTCTCGTAATGTTCTTCATATGACTGTTCCAGAGAAGTTTACTATCCAGGGTTATTCCCAGGTATTTGATTTCTTGTGATGGCAGTATTTCCTTTCCATCTAAATGGATTCCTTTCAAATTTTTCAGACATTCTGGTGAATCCTTCTACCGCGGTTTTGTCTGAATTGATGCTCAGCCCGACAGTACTGCACCATCTCTCAGTGATTCGGAGTCCGCTTTGGATAATATCGTGGGGTCCCTTCATGTTTCCCCCGAACGATCGTGTCTATGTCATCTGCATACCCTAAGCTGGCCTTAAGAAAGTTGTAATTTATTTTTATATTGAGTATAAATGATTTTTAAATGATGATTTCGAGAAAAAATATATTTTTTTGGAAATAGATTTGTATGTTCGGAAACGTTCTATCATTTTTAATCTTTCTAGTGTTAATTTTGAGAAGTGCTATGTCAATTCTTAGTAAATAACGTCTAGGGATTGACCTCGCCAAAATTATTATCGATTGTCATTCCCCATCCATATTTAACGCCGTTTTTAGCATACGATTACTTCTTTTAAAAAATATAACGGTAGCAGTACCTATATATTATCTTTTCTTCTCAGATTCTCAGTCTTTTCTTCACGTTTGTGCTTCACTGCCAATGTCAATATCAAGAAGATAATGAATCATATCCAAGGAAACCCCCACCACAAATTCTGACTCACAAGCAAGCTCTCAACCACGATGGAAACTTCAAATACTTATTTACATCAGAAAATGGTTTAGCCCAAGGAGAAAGTATTGCACCTGACGGGTATGTTATACGATCAAGCGGGCTTTGATTTTGAGATTTAAATAAAAATATAATGTAATTTCACCTATGAAATGTTTATCTCTCATCACACAAAGTACGCTTGGCTAATCTGCAGATTTTTTCCCTTAATATAACTTTAAACTAACTAATGATAGCTAACTTCCTGAGAGATTTAGTATATATATTTTTTCTGGGACTTATTTTTGCTATTTCGTTATACAAAATACAAAATAAGTTTGTCTTAGAGAAGAGTGAAATTTTAATATACACTCACCGGTACGAAAAACGGGCACCTTAAAAAATTTTGATGTATTTTAAAGTTCAATATATTTTGTTCTAGTGGGCCGATTTTGATTATTTTTTAAGCAATTTTTAGCTACATTATTTGACTTTTTAGTGCCTCTTCACTTTTCTTTTGACTATCACTCTTTTGACTTTTAGGGCCTCAAATATACGAGTGAAAACAAAATGTTGATATATTGGTGAATTTTTGCCACTGTGGAATATATTAACAGAGCAAGAAATTAAAAAATTATTTTGTTATCTAGGTACGTTTTATCTCGATAGTTTTATTATTCATCTCAATAGATTTATTTTTATTAGAGATATTCGGCTTTTGTTTAAGACAATTTCTTTTAATAAGACAATAACGATTTATAGCAATTTGAGCATTGAAAGCATGCCTTTCCTTTTGGGTCCTCATCAAGACACTTTTAAAATAGTTTTTTATTGTGTTTGTAATGCCACTGTCATTGAAGAGGCATATTATTATTTATTGACGTTTACTTACTCTTTGGTTTACTCTAGTAGAGATGGTTTTAAGTTCTGAAGTATCGGCTATTGCTTCTTTAAATGGTAGAGACACAGTGTGGTAGAGATCAACTTTTGGACTTAAAACCATCTCCCATCTCTGCTAGAATAACTGCCCAACAGACAATAATAATATGACTTTTCGAAGAGAGACATTACATAAACCATAAACACTATTTTATTGGTCTGTTGACTAGGACCAAAAGTAAAGGTATTGTTTTAAGTAAAAAATACGAAAAAATGTTAATGTTTTCTTTAATAGCGAATATCTCCAAAAGAAATAAAGCTATTGAGATGAACCAAAAAACAAACTTTAGAGAAACGATACGCTTAGATGATAGAATGATTTTTAAATTCCTTGCTTTGTTAACACGCTCCACAGGGTGTTTTAAACTTTCACCAAAATATCAACATTTTTTTTGGCTCGCATAATTGGCAGATGGCAACTTTCGTTTTTAATTTAGAAAGAGATATTAAAAAGTCAAATTAATTTAGCGACAATTTTTTTAAAAAATCAATAAAATCGATCCACTATAACATAATGTATAAAATTTTAAATTACATGAAAAATGTAAGGTGTCCGTTTTTCGTGCCGGTGAGTGCAGATCAAAACAGAAAATTAAAAAATATATTTCAAAAACTTTCTAGAATTTTTGCAGCCATGCGGTAACGTATAGAAAGGAAAAATAAGTCCAACTCTAAGGTTGATAATAATATAGCAGCTTGTGAAGGCAGCCCCTTCTACTATAAACGAATTATATTCCTCGGATATATTCTAAATTCTTCAACAGTTTATCTGCAATTTTTTCCATTTGTCCACAAGTTAATGAAAAATGCATACCATCGTTTACTAATTCATTAACTTCAAATATTTCCCCCATGACAATCAGAATTACAGGAACAAATAGCCAATCAATATGTAGGGAAAAAACAAAAAGACAGTTCCTTAAACATAACTGAAATAACGAAATATATATTTCTCGAAAAATTTACTATAACAGGTATATTTATTTACTAATCTGATAATTTATAAAATATTCATAGCCGATTTTTATGTATAAGGAAAATGATAAAATTAGGACTTTTTATAAATTTCAACTACTAAAAATATAGTTTTATATTTAAACACTGCTGTTCTCTTCATTATTTAGAAGCAGAAGTGGTGGCTACAGCTACATTGACCCCAATGGCAAAAAAATTTCTGTAAAATACATAGCTGGGAAAGAAGGTTTCAAAATATTGGAAGCTGATCATCTGCCTAAAGCTCCTCAACCAGTTGGTCCAGTGCCACAGCCGCGTCAACAAGCTGAAGAATCGTATAACCAGGTATTAATAAAAATTAAATAAAATATCTTCTTCGACTGTAAGTATCACAGTATAAAGTAATATATCTAAATTAGCTTTATTAGAGCTAGTAATTAAATACTAGTTAGGGTCACTGGACCCTGTTGTATGAAATGCCGTATCATATGACAAAATCACCCGTAGAGTCAAGCCCTTCTGATTTCTGATTAAAAATTTTCCTGTGTTCTTGACATCAATTCTGAAGTTACTAATGATGTACGGATTGCTGTCCAGAGGATGCGGAGCAAAATGCAGTATAGCAATACAGCTATACTATAAAGAAATCAGTAATAAAACACAGAAGACTTGACAGAAGTACAAAGTTTAAACACTCTTTACGGCCTCGACCTTAGCAGTGCTGCATAACAAAACCTAAGAACAATCCAACTAAAGACCAGGAACTTACATCGGCGATACTAAGGGACTCAGAAAGGAATATCAGAAAATGTATGGAGCAATCAGTACATGATACAGTAATCCAAAACCAAAATAACTAATAAAGAGCAGTACTGGTTCACAATTAAATTCAAAGTGCCAACCTACATGCACAACAAGCCAAACGGCTTTTAGTTCAGTCATTGGGTATAAAAAAGGGGCCTGCTTGGAAAAAAGTCCGGAAGTTTTGAAACTTTGTGGGATTGATGATTTGGGTATCCAGCACTAAAATTCACAAAATGCACATTTCGAGACCTGCCGCTCGCGCCGCCATCTTGCTAAGATGGCGCCCAAAATCGGTATTTTGCAAATATCTCGAAAACTATGCGTTTCGAAGAAATATGTAGAGAGCAAAATTAAAGAGAATACAGTTTCCTACAAAAAAGATTATAAGGAAATTTTCGCTTAAGTTAACCGTGTAGGCATAAGAGCTCAAATTATGACAACATATTTCGGTAACTTCTATGAACTGCTTTATATCTATATAATATGCGTATATATTTGTGTCTCATAACAAAACGGTGTATTCAAATGAATTCTTGTAATATTTTTATCTTAAGCGCACATCACCGTGATCCAGGCTACAGAAGATGCCGACACATTAATCATACATACGGCAATCCAAATGTCATCTTCATGTGAATACGCAGGTGTTGTTGGAGAGGATGTCGACCTCATTGTTCTGTTGACAGCACTGTGCAAGGCTCACCATAATGTATACCTCCTGAAGCCTGGAAGAGGAAAACGGTCGACAGCATCTATTCGTCGCAGAGTTTAAAAAGCGTCGAAGCGGTGAAGGACAACATCTTGTTCCTCCACGAAATAAGTGGGTGTGATACGACGTCGGCCTTATTCGACCAAGGGAAGCTAAAAACTTTGACAACACTTGAAAAACGTAGAGACTTACAAGCTCCTATAGAAGCATTTCAAAACAAGCGTGCCACCGCTGACGAAGTTGCTATTGCAGGTGAGAAATTTCTTCTTGATCTCTATGGATGCAAAGACAACTAGAAACTAAATCTGGATAAATATCGATACCAGTGTTTCGTCAAATCCGTAACCAAAAGTAAATTTAATTTAGCATCTTTATCACTGACTAGAGCAGCAACACGACAGCATTCATTGTAAACTTACCACCATGTTCAGCATTGGTCTGGTTGTACCAAAGATGCCGAAGAATGGGGTTGGAAGAAAACAAAAACAGGCATTACTCCAGTCACAACGTTGAAAGATCCAGCTCCAAAAGCCCTATTGGCATTTTTATCCTGTAAATAAACCAACAACTGTGGTAAAGCCTGCGGATGCAGAAAAGAAAGATTAAAATATTCAATGATTTGTTCATACTGCAATGGGAAATCCTGTGACAACGTCACTGAAGTATCACTCGACGAATCCGATGAAGAGGAGTTGGTTTGATTCTACTTGCATGTAGATAACTCTCTGGTGGCTGAAGATGAAGAGTTGGATGAATTAAGAGACCACCCTGATGAGCCCAGCACAGCAGACACGAGACACGTTTCATGACACGCCACTGTTAATGTGAATTGAAAATACTAAACTAGTTTTAGTAACTAAAACTAAAACTAGTTTTAGTGAACCCTAATCGACATTTGATTTATAGGGATAGCAAATTTCTAGGTATTTTGTGCCTAAACGGTTGACTTTAGCGAAAAATTTCATAGAACCTTTTTTATAGGAAATGTTATTCTCTTTAATTTTGCTCTCTTCAATTTTTTGCAAAAAAACGCATAGTTTTCGAGATATTTACAAAACACCAATTTTGGGCGCCATCTTGGCAAGATGGCGGCGCCGGCGGCAAGTCTGGAAATGTGCATTTTATGGATTTTAGTTAGGGACCCCAAAACCTATAAACCAGCAAAGTTTCAAAACTTCCGGACCTTTTTTTCAAGCAAAAATCCCCAATGACTGAACTATTTAGTCAGCCCAGTATTGACATCAAGAACATCTCAGAAGCTCCTCATAAGTCCAATGATCCCGACTAGTATATTAGAAATACATCTAGAATGTTATTTTAGATTTTGCTTCATAACATCTTGTACAGGGTAGGGGAGAGCGGGTACAATTGTAACGCGGTACAAATGTAACAGGTACCATAACTTTTTTAAATTCAAATACATTATTATGGCACCTTGTCAGTTATTCAAGTTCCAGACTCAGTACAATCTGACGACAGTTGAGACTTTTGCAATGGTGCAGTGACATAACAATAGAGCTATATCTATTTATCGACACAAAAGCAAAACTTAAGCCATTTTATCAGTTTTTAAATAACTATCATATCTGATAGTTTACAGTCAATGTAGGTATATACTTTTGTAGCCTATGCATGTATATTTAACATGATATGGTTCATTTAAGGGTAAATTTTGCTCTAGTTTTTAATTTCAATAAAAGTGCAGGGTTGTCAGTTCGGTACAATTGTAACAATTGCAAAGGGTACTTTTGTAACATGTTACAATGATACCTACCCATTGTTTCGTTAGATGTACTCATTTTTTAATTAACATGCCTAAGTAATAATAATTAATAGTGATAAGGGACCTACAAAACAACTTATAAAAAGAGCTGCGGGTTTGGTTGTGAACGAAAATCTTGGATTTCGACAAGTTGCTAGAAGTTTGGACCTCTGTCATGTAACACTTTTCCGTTATTTAAAAAAATACAAGCTGGTGAAACTACTAAAGTGGTTACAATCCACATACTCGAATTTTATCCCCAACAAGAAAAAGCATTTTTTTTAAAGTTTTTAATTATCTTGTTTTTAATATTGTATTTTTTATAGGCGCATTAGTTTTTTTTAGAACGCTGTTTGGAAAAATCTACGATTGTGACTAGGTTAGAATTATTCTTAGAAAAAATTCTATAGAATAGGTATAACTTTTGAAGATTGTTGTCTGAACCAGTTTTTTCACATATTGTAAATAAAAGTTGGCATTCATTTTCTAGCAATTATTACTGTTTGAATGCATCCAAATCATATCTTAACGTTTGTCAGATTCTAGGAGCTAAAATTTTATTTGCTTCAGATGAAAAATCAATATACTAAACACGTTACATTTGTCCCTTCCTCTATGTTACAACTGTACCACCGCGGGGTACAATTGTAACACATGTCATCACACCACTGTTGCCTTTTTTAAGACTACATAGGTGAATATACCTTCGATTTCTTATGTGCATTTTGATGATAAATGTCTAGGCTATCTAAAGATAATATGTACACTTCGCGAAATTTCTCATTCTATTTTTGAAAAATAAATTTCTAAAAACTGTTACAACTGTACCCGCTCTCCCCTATCCCATTTTAGTTGAAATCAATGAAATCATGCGTTATTTCCATTATTAGTGAAGATAGAACAGTACGGTTTGCACAAACCTGTGGCACTTTTTTGTCAAATGGAAGATGCCACAAACTAAATTTTCATAGCCCTCTTCGTTTCTGAGCTACAGGGTATTTTTGAAAGTTTTGCAATTTGGGACACCCCCCCGTATCTCTGTTATTGTTAAAGGTATCGAGAAGGTGAAAACTATTTATCGTAGAACTTTTTACCAGAATACAGTGGCGTAGTCTGTTATTCTACGAAAAGAATAATTTTAAAGATGTGAACTAAAGTTATGTTTTTTTAAATGGAACACACTGCATATTTACAAATTATATGATCTGGCTTATGGCAGCTTCTCAAAAATATACAGGGTGGTCCGAATTGTATTCCGGAAACTTAAAAATAAGTAAAAAAGTTCGTATAAATGTATGTCCTAAAATGCTTAGTTTCGGAGATACGGGGTGTAGAAGTTTCATTTTTATTTCGATTTTTTCTAAATAATTTCTGAAGTAACGTCAAAATTACTCCTATTTGTAGGGGGCACTACCTACATGTGTTTTAACTGTTTTGAAGAGTAATAACTTTTCGACCGTACCTGTATAAAACCACTGACTAAAAAAATATACATTTTTATGACTTTTTATTTAAAAAATGTCTCTTGGTAAAAATCGCTACGAGCAACCGTTCTCAAGATATTTAGAATGGAAATAGTCAATATATGTCATTATTTACAAAAAATAAGCACACGTTGAGTATAGTTATTTGACTGAAATAATAAATTTTTATTTTTTTAAATTAATCATAAGTTTTTCTGCGAAAAAATGATGATTAAACAATTTCTTTTGAACTTTTGACACAAAAAGATTTTAAATTTATGATTTCAGTCTAATTATTATTTAGTCAACATGTTTAATTTACGTCAATGATGACAGGTATTGATAATTTCGATTCCAAATATCTCGAGAACCATTACTCGTAGCGATTTTTACCAAGAGACCTTTTTTATGTAAAAAAAATCGCAAATGTATATTTTTTACTCAGTAGTTTTAAAGAGGTACCGACGTAAAGTTATTACTCTTCAAAACAGTTAAAACACATGTAGGTGGCGCCACCTACAAATGGGAGTCATATTGAAAAAATCAAATTTCTCATGTCAAAAAACACCCATCCACCAATTTTCATCCAAATATTGACGTCACTTTAGAGATTATTTGGAAAAAATCGAAATAAAAATGAAACTTCTACACCCTGTATCTCCGAAACTAAGCATTTTAGGACATACATTTATACGAACTTTTTTACTTATTTTTATCTGCAGAATATGCTGCCGAAGTTTCCGGAATACAATTCGGACCACCCTGTATATCAATATATATTTTTATTTTTACTATTTACTGCAATATTTAAAAGTTTTTTTTTTTTTATTAAAAGATCATATTTATTGGTAGGCCATGATTGATAATAAAAGAAACTAAAGAAGTATTAAAAGTATACTGCTCTGTCTAGGTACTAAATTCTTTATATATCAGGGAAACTTAACTCTCTACCGCTATTTGTAAAACTTGGAAGCTATCGTACCGGAACTTTTAGATATTCCTTTAGCTAATTTACGTGAAATATACCGTCAGCAAGATGGGGGAAATGATGAAAATATTCGAATTTTGTTAAATGACTTTTTCCCAAATCAATGAATTGGAACCAATGGACTCATATGATGGCCTGCCTGATTTTCGGATTTGTCCATTCCTGATTTCTGTATTTGGGGATTTTTAAAATATGAAATATATCGTGGCAACTACAACAATGTCAAACACCTGGAAACTGCTATCAGGCAAGCTTTTAGATATTTGCAAACCCATCCCGTTATAAAAAAAATATATTCGGAGATTCAGTGGTAAGAGTTCGAAAGTGAAATATTTCAATCCCAAATAACATTTTAATATGTGTATGGCTATTTTAGTGAATACGATTTTGATTTTTTTGTTTTTTATCACGGCCTACTAATAAGAAAATAATATCTTTCTATAATTATTTTAAATATTGCCGTAAATAGTGAAAATAAATATAGAGTGATATATATTTTTTAGAAGCTCATAGCAAGACGGATAATTTAATCCGTTTGAGTGTTCCGTTTGAAAAAACATAACTGTAGTTCATGTTTTCAAAAATATTTTTTTCACAGAAAAACAGACTACGCCACTGTAAAAAGTTCTACAATAACCAGTTTTTCACCTTCTCGAAATAATCTCCAGTAACGGAGATACGGCCCAAAAAGAGAGGCTGTCCCAAATTGCAAAATTTTCGAAAAGACTCTGTAGCTCAGAAATGAAGAGGGCTTTGAAAATTTTGTTTACATCTTCTGTTTGACAAAAAAAAATGGGACAAGTTTGTACAAACCGCATCCTCCTATTTTTACTAATAACGAAGATACCGAATGATTTCAACTAAAATGGGACACCTTGTACATACATAAGTCGAGACGTCATATAAAATTTCAACATGAAAGAATGTCAGTCCAAATAGATATTATATTTCAAAATTCACCATTGTCCCCCACTTTCAAAAAAAAAACAAGTGGAAATGTTTGACAAAAAATTCATATATTACACTCTACATTTCGAACAAAACCTAATTAATTATTTTTATTTGCAGCCACAGTCCCAAGATTATGATGACGGGAAATATAGACAAGAAGCTTACCCACGACCCCAACCTGAACGCCAATATTACCAGCCAAAACCGTATGCATCTCCTAAATTGCTATATCGCTCAGCTGAAGAAAGACCGAACACTTTTAGCAACAATATCAATGAAAAAGAACCAGAATATAATGATGAACCTGGTAAAGCTGGTACTTTTGGAGCTGGTTATATTTTTGAATTTGGATCTGGTTAAATCTAACATGTCCATTAGGGTATTCCAATTGAACATTATAATTAAGATCTTTATGACGATTTTTTACTAAATGGAAATTTATTGTGAATTAATTCTGATATAAACTTAGTATTTATTATTTTTAATATTCAAAACATCCAAAACAAGTATTCTCATACCTTCTTATTTTTCTATGTACCTATAAGTATTATTGTTAAGTATTTCAAGAGTGAACTTTTGTGAATGACTGATGATTTTGTAATAATTTAATGTAATGACATTTGTATTAGTAGGTATATTAAATTTGATTACATATTTTATAAACTAAAATGTATATTATCTTCGAAGAGTATATGTTTTGTTAATAAATTTGTTTATGAAAAACTCCATAGATTTTAGTCAACAACATTCAAATTATCTACAAAAAAAAAAGAAAATAAATTGAAAATACAGAATGGCGCACCTCATTCGCCTCGGTTGATTATACGAAAACGGAGAGATGTAGAAACAACATTTTTTTTGTGGGTATATGTAGAGAGGCAATGTGCATAATTTAAAATTATTTTGAAATGTACAGGGTGTGCCAGAAATAAGATCCATACCAAAGTTACATTTCTTCTTATGGAACACCTGGTATTTTATTTCATTTTTGAATTATTGGGCATACAATAAAGTATTTATTATAAGGGTTTAATATGTTTAAATGCTTTTGTTTTTTTAATTAAGATATTTAAAGATATTTAAATATGCATGATATTATAAAAAAGTTTGTCAACACCCTGTACATTACTTTTCAGAGTTAATTCTTGTATTGGTTTGGTTTGGTCACAACCAGAGAAATAAACTCTACTGAAAAATTTGATTGCTTCCTTAAATTTATACAGGGGTATCAAAAATTGCTGGTCTATTTTAAATATTTCTTTTACATAAAAACTTCGTTATTTCAAATAAAACACTATGTATTTTTTTAAATAAGTCGAAGCAGATTTAAATGCCCTTTCAAACTATATTAGGGTTTCCTATACCTATCTGTCTCAGATTTTGAATAAAAAGAAAAAGCGATTTTTCAATAAAATGGCAATCTAGATGGCTGGTGTCGCCATGGCAATTTGCTAGTGACAGTTAGTAGCTATTTTCAAAATCAACATTAGTTTATGGACTTTATTTAAATTTATAACAGTTTACTTTTTATTTAATTTACCTACAATAGTTTAATAAGTAAGTAGGTAAAATAAAGTTGTAGTTCTTTGTTATATTACGATCACTTGTAGATATATTGGATTTTCTAGAAAAGAACTAATTAAGACAAATTCATTTTCTTCGCTTCCAACGACAGGTTTCTGCCTAATAGGTTTTTCATACATCACACTATCAACTCTGCGAAATAGGAAAAGTAGTTTTTCAAAGAACCCTTATCAAAAAAATCCTATTTAGATATCTTTGAGCATAAAGCCTTCAATTCAATTGTCCTCACAAAATAAAGTCACTGTAAAATCCATTCCTTCCGCCAGCAGATACTGCTTCATGTTTCTTGATAAAATAATAAATAAATAACTGATTAACATTATTGTAGGTACATTAAATAAAAATAACCTGTTATAAATTTAAATAAAGTCCATAAATTAATGTCGATTTTGAAAATAGCTACTAAGTGTCACTAGAAAATTGCCATGGCGACACCAGCCATCTTGATTACAATTTTATTGAAAAATCGCTTTTTATTCAAAATCTGAGCCAGATTGGTATAGGAAACCCTGATATAGTTTGAAAGATCATTTAAATCTGCTTCGACTTATTTAAAAAATAGATAGTGTTGCATTTGAAATAACGAAGTTTTTATGAAAAACAAATATTTAAAATAGACCAGCAATTTTTGGTACCCCTGTATAGATTTAAGGAAGAAAGAATATTTTTCACTAAAGTTTATTTTTCTACCTTTAAACTCATCATAAGAATTAATTTTGAAATGTAATGTACAGGGTGTTAATAATCTCTTCTATTGTAGCATGCATATTTAAATCTCAAGAACCAAAGATTTTAAACATATTGAACCCTTATAATAAATGCCTTTTTTTGGTCACAAGAATCCAAAAATGAAATAAAATACCGGGTGTTTCATAAGAAAAAATATAATTTTAGATATATAATATTTCCAAATAATTTTAAATTTTGCACATTGCCTCCCCGCCTATACCCATAAAATATTTTGTTTCTAAATCTTTCCGTTTTCGTATAATCAACCGAGGCGAATGAGGTGCGCCTCCCTGTACAGGGTGAGTCAACGATAGAGTAAAGTCCATTATCTCATTTGTTTCGAGGTTTACAAAAAAATGTTTATTATAAAAGTTATAGGGAAGGTTAAGATACACATTTTAAAATTGTTATAGAGTATACAGGGTGCTTCAAAAAAGTGTGGCGGATATAACATATGTTTTTTTAAATGCAACACCCTATTTTTTATTGTATTTTTAGAATCTGCGTAAAATTTTATAACTTTTTTATATATAATGTTATATACCTAAAATTAACAGTTTTTCAAATATTTAAATTTGTTTAAACAAATGTTAAATTGCAGTGTGTGTAAAAATTGCCAGTAGTACCATTGTTTCTGAAGTTGGAATACCAAAACTTGGTATGATAGTTCTATAGAGATTAAAAAGAAGATATATGTTAAGATATTTTAGTTAAATGCTACAGGGTGTTCAAAATATATTTATGAATTTCAACTACTTAAAATTAAGAAATTTCAATTTTACACCCTTGGGTACACCCTATATATTATCATTTTTTCTGATAGATTTTACAAAACTCATCAACTTTTATTAAGTATGTCATATACCTATTTTTATTAGTTCGCGATTTATTCCAATTTTTGTCTATTTTTACCCATATTTTTAATACAATTGCGCTATAGCATCATAGTTACCATGACAAAAAGTAATAATTATCACAATTTCATGTCCGTTAAGCAAGTTAAGAACAAAATTTGAATTTTAGTTTAATTTGTTGTAATAAGTATAAATGGTAAAGATAATAGTTACAGATTTTCTTCAAATGAATTAGTCAATGTGACTGATATATACGGACAAGCCTAGAAAACCACATTTTGTGGTTCAGTACTATATATTATATAGTACTTTGCTAACTACTATAAGAATAGATGTATATTATCTAGAAAACATCTTCAGTGTGTAATGGGACGGTTTCGCGGCAGTAGTAAATTGGCTTTACCAAATTTATAAATCAGAATTACTACGAGAAAAAACTTTACTGTATGTTGAAGAAAATTCCTATATCAGTAGTCTTTAGCAATTAGTTAATCTAGTATTACGCTAATCAGTGGCTATTCGCCTCGACGAAAAATCCCAAGTGTCATTTATCATAATATAGAAATACCCAAGAAATTCACTACTGCGATTTAGTTTATTTGAGTAAAGTTAATTAATTTTAACTAATACCAGCAATTGTAACTAATTATGAAGCTACTTGTTAAAGGTAAGTAATAAATAGTTTTGTTTTGTCATGGTAACTATGATTTTATAGGGTAATTGTATTAAAAATATGGGTAAAAATAGAAAAAATGGGAATAAATCGCAAACAATTAAAAATAGGTATATGACATACTTAATAAAAGTTGAAGAGTTTTGTAAAATCTATCAGAAAAAATGATAATATATAGAGTGTCCCATTTAAAAAAATTGAGATTTTTTAATTTTGAATAGTTGAAATTCAGAAATATATTTTGAACACCCTGTATCATTTAACTAAAATATCTTTACATATATCTTTTTTTTCATCTCTATAATACTCTCCTACCAAATTTTGGTACTCCAACATAAGAAACAATGTCACCATTGACAATTTTTTACCACACTGCAATTTAACATTTGTTTAAATAAATTGAAATATTACAAAAACTATTAATTTAGGTATATAACATTATATATAAAAAAGTTATGGAATTTTACGCAGAATCTAAAAATAAAATAAAAAATAGGGTGTTGCATTTAAAAAAACATATGTTATAGCCGCCACACTTTTTTGAAGCACCTTGTATACTCTATAATAATTATAAAATGTGTATCTTAACCATCCCTATAACTTTTATATTAAACATTTTTTTGTAAACCTTGAAACAAATGAGATAATGAACTTTACTCTATCGTTGACTCACCCTGTATATGCAGTATATATTGAAACGTCAACTATGTATCTACCTCATCAAATGTATCTTCTAATTGGATGTCGTTACCTTCATGAACTTACCACTGAAATTTAACGTAACCTTGCTTGCGGTCATTCTGCTGACACTGTTCGGCCTGTGGTTGGGCTATTCTCTTGCAGAGAATAGCAGATAGAGGCTGCTGGCTGGTCTCGAGCATCGAAATGACTATGTTAGTCGTCATTTATTAACCTGAGAGATTCTATACATATATTCTGACATTCCCTCCTCAGCATATACTTGAAGACATAATCCAGGGTCCGGCAATAGTGCGTCGGGCATCTGTAGCTCCTTGAATAAAAAACTTGGGAATTTTGTTTAAGTGTAAACATAAAGTATGTACTAGGATGTATTTCAAGAAAATATTTTAACTCCTACAGGGTGGCTGAAAAAAGTTTGAGTGGTTCGAGATGATTTTTTTTAAATGGGACATCCTGTATATTATTGCATTTTTGGCTTCCTTCCAGATCACTTTACATAATCCTAAGATATGAATAAATATATTTTGATAGTTTAAAAGCTATTAATAAATAAATAAAAAATATATATTTTTCAACCTTCATTAAAAAAAATATTACAAATACATGAGCTATCCTGAAATCAAAACTATATTAGATATATAATTTAGATGGCCTATACTCACTTTACTGTAAATATCGTAATCTTAAATCATACAGGATGTTCAAAATTCTACGCCAAACTTTCTAAAATATAAACTAATATTTCGTCAGTGAAACGTGATAACCTGCTAACTCCATTTTTTACGTTAATAAGTTTTTTTTAAACCATTAGAAAGAGAAAAAAATACTCTATAAGTAGGGAAAGCAAACATATTTTTCCCATTAAAGAAAATTTTTTATTTTAACTCAATAATATCTGCTAATTCCTAGTGATCTGAAATAGCCACCGAAATGCTGCTATCTCCGTAATTTTCGTTACGATCACGCTAAAGCAAACACACAGATTCGTAATAGTATGTTTTTTTAGTACAGTACGTCGATCCAGGGTCGCACTAGGCCAAAGGGGCCCGGGTGGCAATGTAAGGAGGGGCTAGTGTGTTTTTTTTGTGTATTTTTTCGCCTTACGTTTTGGTCAATTTTTCCCTATTATA